GGTAGTTTATACTTGTGATTTTTCGGAAAACTTTGCTGACCGAGGCTATCCAATTGATATATTTCATTGAAAAGCTGGAATATGAATGATCGTAACATTTTTTCAGTGCCACCATATCGAAAATTTATAACAACCCCCTGATAAGGGTAGTTTATACTTGTGATTTTTCGGAAAACTTTGCTGACCGAGGCTTTCCAATTGATATATTTCATTGAAAAGATGGAATATGAATGTTCGGAACATGTTTCCAGTGCCACCATATCGAAAATTCATAACAACCCCCTCATAAGGGTAGTTTATACTTGTGATTTTTCGGAAAACTTTGCTGACCGAGGCTTTCCAATTGATATATTTCATTGAGAAGATGGAATATGAATGTTCGGAACATGTTTTCAGTGCCACCATATCGAAAATTCATAACAACCCCCTCATAAGGGTAGTTTATACTTGTGATTTTTCGGAAAACTTTGCTGACCGAGGCTATCCAATTGATATATTTCATTGAAAAGCTGGAATATGAATGATCGTAACATTTTTTCAGTGCCACCATATCGAAAATTTATAACAACCCCCTAATAAGGGTAGTTTATACTTGTGATTTTTCGAAAAACTTTGCTGACCGAGGCTATCCAATTGATATATTTCATTGAAAAGCTGGAATATTAATGACTGAATTATTTTTCCAATGCCACCATATCGAAAATTTATAACAACCCCCTAATAAGGGTAGTTTATACTTGTGATTTTTCGAAAAACTTTGCTGACCGAGGCTATCCAATTGATATATTTCATTGAAAAGCTGGAATATGAATGATCGTATATATGCTAAATTGTCAACCCTGTATAATAGGTGACTATTTCAACGACCGACTGACTGACATGTCATTTGACATGTTTCGTACATTCATATTCCAGCTTTTCAATGCAATATAACAATTGGAAAGCTTCGGTCAGCAAAGTATTTCGAAAAATTACAAGTATAAACTACCCTTATTAGGGGGTTGTTATAAATTTTCGATATGGTGGCACAGAAAACATGTACCGCACATTCATATTCCAGCTTTTTAATGAAATATATCAATTGGATAGCCTCGGTCAGCAAAGTTTTCCGAAAAATTACAAGTATAAACTACCCTTATCAGGGGGTTGTTATAAATTTTTTATATGGTGGCACTGGAAACATGTTCCGAACATTCATATTCCAGCTTTTCAATGAAACATAATTGGAAAGCCTCGGTCAGCAAAGTTTTCCGAAAAATCACAAGTATAAACTACCCTTATTAGGTGGTTGTTATAAATTTTCGTTATGGTGGCACTGGAAAAATAATCCAATCATCCATATTCCAGCTTTTCAATGAAATATATCAATTGGATAGCCTCGGTCAGCAAAGTTTTTCGAAAAATCACAACCATAAACTACCCTTATTAGGGGGTTCTTATGAATTTTTTATATGGTGGCACTGAAAACATGTTCCGTACATTCATATTCCAGCTTTTCAATGCAATATAACAATTGGAAAGCTTCGGTCAGCAAAGTATTTCGAAAAATTACAATTATAAACTACCCTTATTAGGGGGTTCTCATGAATTTCATATATGGTGGCACAGAAAACATGTTCCGCACATTCATATTCCAGCTTTTCAATGAAACATAACAATTGGAAAGCCTCGGTCAGCAAAGTTTTCCGAAAAATCACAAGTATAAACTACCCTTATTAGGGGGTTTTTATGAATTTTCGGTATGGTGGCACTGAAAACATGTTCCGAACATTCATATTCCATCTTTTCAATGAAATATATCAATTGGAAAGCCTCGGTCAGCAAAGTTTTCCGAAAAATCACAAGTATAAACTACCCTTATTAGGGGGTTGTTATAAATTTTCGGTATGGTGGCACTGGAGAAATAATCCAATCATCCATATTCCAGCTTTTCAATGAAATATATCAATTGGATAGCCTCGGTCAGCAAAGTTTTTCGACAAATCACAAGTATAAACTACCCTTATTAGGGGGTTCTTATGAATTTTTCATATGGTGGCACTGAAAACATGTTCCGTACATTCATATTCCAGCTTTTCAATGCAATATAATAATTGGAAAGCTTCGGTCAGCAAAGTATTTCGAAAAATTACTAGTATAAACTACCCTTATTAGGGGGTTCTCATGAATTTCATATATGGTGGCACAGAAAACATGTTCCGCACATTCATATTCCAGCTTTTCAATGAAACATAACAATTGGAAAGCCTCGGTCAGCAAAGTTTTCCGAAAAATCACAGGTATAAACTACCCTTATGAGGGGGTTGTTATGAATTTTCGATATGGTGGCACTGAAAACATGTTCCGAACATTCATATTCCATCTTTTCAATGAAATATATCAATTGGAAAGCCTCGGTCAGCAAAGTTTTCCGAAAAATCACAAGTATAAACTACCCTTATGAGGGGGTTGTTATGAATTTTCGATATGGTGGCACTGGAAACATGTTCCGAACATTCATATTCCATCTTTTCAATGAAATATATCAATTGGAAAGCCTCGGTCAGCAAAGTTTTCCGAAAAATCACAAGTATAAACTACCCTTATGAGGGGGTTTTTATGAATTTTCGGTATGGTGGCACTGAAAACATGTTCCGAACATTCATATTCCATCTTTTCAATGAAATATATCAATTGGAAAGCCTCGGTCAGCAAAGTTTTCCGAAAAATCACAAGTATAAACTACCCTTATTAGGGGGTTGTTATAAATTTTCGGTATGGTGGCACTGGAAAAATAATCCAATCATCCATATTCCAGCTTTTCAATGAAATATATCAATTGGATAGCCTCGGTCAGCAAAGTTTTTCGAAAAATCACAAGTATAAACTACCCTTATTAGGGGGTTGTTATGAATTTTCGATATGGTGGCACTGAAAACATGTTCCGAACATTCATATTCCATCTTTTCAATGGAATATATCAATTGGAAAGCCTCGGTCAGCAAAGTTTTCCGAAAAATCACAAGTATAAACTACCCCTAAATGGGGGTGGATTCGGATTTTGAATATGGTGGCACGAAGGCATTCCTCCATAGATATAAGATCTGTATTATGATCTCATTAATCGCACTACAAGTCTCAAATCAACGAATTATTCGATTGTGGTCAGCAAAATACTTTTTCCCGAGATAACGTACACCCGTAAGCCCACTAACAACGCAAACGTGAAGAATTGGAAAATGCGCATGCGTAGCTGTCAATTTCTACGTTTACGTTAACGTTCATGACAACACTCCAACTCTCTATTATCTTTGTGGACACGTAAAAAGTCTAGTGAATTCAACTTAATCCTATCAAACTAGAGAGGAGCTAATTCAAAATATTATGGCTGCATCCTTACGAGACGATCCATCAGCGAGGTACTCTTCAGAGAGCGAAGTCTTCGATAATTAGAAGAGGAAGAAGGTGCTGTGAAGCAGCGGAGGGACAATTTTAAACAAAAAAAAAATTTGTGTATGTAATACAAACATTCTCAATTGACTAAATATTACATACTTTGATCAGCATTCTCTTCACATAATTCTACACACTTTGGTGAATTCAATATTGCCTATTACTTCTCGACGATGTCTTTACATTTTACGTTTCAGTGTGAAATAAACTAAAAAACATATTATTATTCAAACGTCATATTTCGCGGGGATAGGAATGTATTGCTCTAAGAAGAAAATGCCATAGAACCTTATTTGTGTAGAAACATCGTAGGTATCTTTTCATTTGCATTGACATACTTTGGTTGTAAAATCAATAGAAATCGAGAAAACCATTTTGGAGCAAGTCGAATTGTTGCCAAATAAATGTCTGGGTAGCCTCCAATAACTCGGGGAGTTTTGACACGTTACTCATGAAACCGAAGAATATAGGAAACATTCCTCTTCAATACCTATATGTAAATTTTGTTCGATATCAATGTTTTCAGGTTATTTAAACTTTATAATATCAAATTGCGGAGGTTTCACCTTACACTTCGTGAAATAGTCTGATAAAAGGCTTCTCGTGATTGAATTCATCTCATAAGTCTGTCTTTCATTCCTGAGCTCTACTGAATTGCTCCAAGAAAACATCACTTCTCCTGCGGACTCTTGTTTTCTTATATAAAATGGATTGTGACATGTCTTTCATTCCTGAGCTTTACTGAATTGTTACAAGAAAACATCACTTCTCCTGCGGACTCGATCTTGTTTTCTTATATAAAATGGATTGTGACATGTCTTTCATTCCTGAGCTTTACTGAATTGCTCCAAGAAAACATCACTTCTCCTGCGGACTCGTGATGATTTTTCGATCATTTTCCTTCCGACATGGATCGACAGACTGATCGCGAAAATTCAATCCCTTGTGATGGGTGTTTATTTGTTGAATATATGCCTGTTCTTACTACACCGTTTACTGTTGATAATATGATCATAATTGAACATTCTAGGTATAGAGACATTTCAAATGATCCTCATCAGTTATCGTGAATGTTGGTAGGATCAGTCGCTGCTAATACCACAGTCGCCTTCTCACCCCCTGGCCCCTACACAATCCATAAATCCCTGAAAAACATCCATGCATCTGCATCCCGATCGCATCCCTTCAATATCATCACATTCTAGTGCCCCGAAATCAACGGGCTGAAAAAAGGGGTTGATGGCAGCGGGGTTAAAATAAGGCGCAGTCGCGTGTAGAAACAGAAGTTAAACGCGGGGTGGCAGGATTGATCCCGCCCCGCAGATGATATATACACTACCTAATGCGCCCCAAATCACACCGCTCACTTCCCGATATCCAACCCTCTGATATACTTCGCGGAGCGTTTCCAGTTTCCTGGAAAATCATCTGCCAAGCAGTCTCTTCGTTCGCGTTCAGATACTTCGAATAATATCCGTATTTGCCTCTTATTGTGGATACTAGATTCTAGTGATATACCGGTGTGTGTTGGAAAAGACAAAGTGGAAGTCCAGAGTTGCCATCCGTCGATGAGGATGGACTGTACAGTCTCCCAGCCACAGTCTATTCTGTCCTCGTTGCACCAGCCGTGTTCTCCTGAGCAGCATCCTTGTCATCCGAATGGTGAGTTTCTGAGTTTGGTTTACTGAAGCTTGCGTTTCGTGGTCAGGTGGGGTTTGGTCCATGAACTATGACGGAAGCGGAAGGGTGCACCAGTACAGAGATATTTATTAGCTGTCATACGAAATCAATCATAATTTTTCTGAAGGCTTGCATCTCATGGTCAGGTGTTTTTGTTATGAACTATGGTGAAAGAGTGCATCATAGAGATATATCTAATAAGAAATATTCTCATATTAAGATTACTGTGTATTTAATATAGTGATTGCATGACTATCATCCCAATATTATATACAGGGTGTTCCTAAAAGTTTTTCACAAAAACTCACCACATATTCCGCAGACCAAAACAATTCGATACAAGCAAACTTGCCTCAGTACAAAGTTGCTCAATTTTGTGCGCTAGACGGCTGTGAAGTTACAATTTTTAAATCGCTTTTGCTCCATAACTTTGAAACGGTTCATGAGATGAGATCAAATTTGGTGCGTTTGCATAGCTTTATTGGGCAATAAAACCCATATCATGATTATGATGAATATCATTCCATGGGAGTAGAACTTGATTTTTTCATTGCCTGAGGAAGTATTCCCAACAACATACAATCTCCAGAAGTTCAAAAAAAATTCCAATACCTACCTCCTGTCCCTATCTTCCCTAGGGGCGCGCGATGTTCTTTGAGCATTATAGGGGTTTCCTTTCGTGCGCTCCAAGCGAATAAAAAAAAGCATGCATCTGAAACTTCTACGCCAATGGAATGGAAGGAGGTTTAATTTGAGATCTAGATTGCGTAACTTCTTAACTACAAAAAACTACTCTTGATAAAATTTTATTACTCTCATGGTTTAGACAAAATTTAAATTTTATTAATTCAAAGCATCAGTCAACACCAAAACGATTGACAGATATTACATAAAAATCGTTCGAAAGTTTCATTATTTCCACTTATACAAACGAAATACGTACGTATACGTTATTTTTTGTTGTTTTATTTTTGTACTGAGTAAGTCATCAGAGCCGTCTAGCGCCCAGACTGAGAAACTATGTAATGGGGTTAGTGTGCTTGTATCCATTTTTTTCGTCATATACGTGAAAATTATGATATTTCAAACACTTTTTATGAAATATCTCTGTCGTTTTGGTGTTGACTATATTATTGCTTTGAATTACTGAAATTCAAAGTTTGTCGAAACCATGGGAGTAATCGAATTTCATTAAGATTCCTTTTTTTGCAGTAAACAAGCTATACGCAATCCAAATTCCATATTTAAATCCCTTTCTTTCCATGGGCGTAGAAGTTTCATGTTTCTTTACTGAAAAAATCAAGTATTGCGCCCATATATATTTATCATAATTCATCATAATCATGATATGGGTTTCATTGCCCAATAAAGCTTTGTCAATGTACAAAAGTTTAGTATAGAATCTCATGAGTCGTTTCAAAGCTATACCATCTAAATCTTATATCTATGAAACTATGAAGCGAAAACGATTTGAAAATTGTAACCTCAGAGTCGTCTAAGCTTCTAAACTAAGCAACTTTGTACATAGATGAATTGGCTTGTATCGAATTGTTTTAGTCTGTTGAAGAAAAAATCGATATATAGATAGAATGTGTGAAAAATTCGGTACTGCTGCAAGGAAGAGTCCGCAAGCTAGCTTTGCAGCATTTACAAAATCTTTACAATCTGAATGGGCATTCACACAGAGAGTAATAAATGGTTGCAATGAAGAGTACCATAGATTGCGGAATGCCATAGGAGAACATTTTACATCCTACTCTACTCGGACACGAAATAACAAACATTGAACACGATCTATTTGCTCTTCCCACCCGTCTAGGAGGTCTAGATATTAATGACCCTGTAGAAAATGCAGAACGATCTTTAAAAAAATTCTAAAGATCGCACTAAAAAATTAATCAATGCCATCAAGTCCAAAAATGCTTTTGATCTTGATGACCATCTAACCACTCTGAACAACATTATCAAAAGAGAAAGGCAGAGAAAATGCGAGATTGACAAATTTGAGATTGAGAGATTATTAATTCCTTAACTTCCTGCACATCAAAAACGACCAATTACTCGCATTGTGGAAGGGGCTGCTAGTCAATGGTTGACTGTTATACCTACTGCAGCTGATAATTTTGATTTATCACTTACCCAATTTAGAGATGCTTTAGTCCTCCGTTATGGATATTCACTAGATAATATGCATGTTTCATGTGATGGATGTGGAGAAGAAATGAATTTATCGCACGCACTAAATTGCAAAAAAGGTGGCTTGATAAAACATGGACATAACCAACATCGTGATCATTGTGCGGCGTTAGCATATTTAGCTTGGAATGGCGAGTTCTTCGAGAGGCTGACCCCATCATCAATGTTCCTGCCCTCTATGCTGACATAAAAATAAATGGTGTCTGGAAAGCTGAAAGAGTTGCGTTTTTCGATAACCACATCGCACTTCCCAAAACTGGCATACCATCGCCCATAATAATGCAAAGCAAAAGCATAGAAAATATGAAAGTGCAGCAGAAGACATCAGAGCTAGATTCACTCCATTAATTTGTTCTGAAGGTGTTACACCAGGAATAGGCCGTTTTTCAGAAACGTTTAGCAGATACATTATCACGAAAATGGAAGAAGCCGTTTTCTCATACAATAGGGTGGATTTGCATACAAGGGCAAATGTCCATAATCAGAGCCATGTCCCTGCGATTGAGGGGTATATTAATATAATATTATAATAATAAATATATGATATTATAATAATAAAAAGATACAGAAATATAACTTCTTTCTAATGCAATAGTTAAATTATCACCATTTCGATATCATATGATGATATTTCAAAAATCAAAAATACTTCAATCGAGATTTCTTTTGTTCTCATTTCAGTATAAGGATGATGGACCTTCGAGAAATATCAAAACATATATCTATTAATCTACTGTAGAAGTCCATGTTATCTCAAAGCAGAGTGAAGTAGTTAAAATATAATATAGAAACTCTCCAAGTCGTCTCCACAACGTTTAATTCCAAATTCAAGAAGAAGGGGACATGTTTTGGAACCAAAAGGTATTCATCATCAACCAGAAAGAAATTATTCTACAAAGAACAACGAAACAGTATAAGTAGGTAATTTGTACTCACGTGGAGATGAAAAAGGCAAAAACATGGTTATAATTAGCATGGTAAAGCGGTTATTATAGAACATGTTTATAGTTTTAAATAAAATTTTAAAACGAGTAAACAGGTATCATTATTCAAATTAGGGCCCTGTACCCCAGATACAGAACGTTTGAAAAAATCCGACAGAAACGTGCTGATTTTATTGATAAAAATCAATCATCAATATCAATTTCATAATGCATGAGATGTTCATATGAAAAATCGATTGATTTTTATCAATATATTTCATCAATATTATCAGCATGTTTCTGTCGGATTTTTATGGGGTCGTTGAGCAAATATCTGGGGTACAGGTCCCCTGTTTACTTCTTTTTAAATTTTATCTAAAACTATAAACATGTTCTAATAACCGTTTTACCATGCTAATTATAACCATGTTTTCGCGTTTTTCTTCTCCACGTGAGTTCAAATTTGTTTTACCTGATATACCTACTTATACTGTTTCGTTATTCTTTGTAGAATAATTCCTCTCTGGCTGATGATGGATACATTTTGGGTCCGAAACATGCCCACTCCTTCTTGAATTTGAAATTAAACGTTGAAGAGACGATTTGGAGAGTTTTTATTATATTTTTATATATCTATTACTTTATATATGTATACCTACCCCCAAGAGGGATTCGTCAAGGAACTATATAGGGCGTGTAAGCGCATCAGGGCGATAGGTCGTGGCCTGAGAATGAGATTGGTCTATCTCACACAATTTTTTTTTGGAGGAAATAAGCTTCAAAGTTTGAACAAAGTTTTCGATAATTTTTTATGTATTATTTTCGATAGACCAAAAAGCTGTTTTTACCAAATTCAGTATTTATTTGGGGATTTAGACCATATATGCTGGATGAAGGTCATTCTAATTCTACGTTGAGTCACAATCAAAATCGAATGAAACTATAACGTATAATAGGTCTATATCCATACATAAATCTGAAACAAAGACGTGGGAATATTCAACTTGCTCTTATTATGTAAAAGCTATACATAGTGCCCAGCTTTTCTATAATCTAATTGAAATTTTACTCTTCAAACTAAACTGGTATAATATATTCTTTTATTCTTTTACAATGGTTTCCTTTTTCATTGCACTTTTCCCTCTAACATTCTTCTTAACATTCTTCTTTGCAGTCGATTTGGTTGCTTCTCACACAGCTGCACTGGTCAAACAAAGACCTGAACACACTGTACTTACTGTATGTGTGTATGTACAGTACACTACATACTTATATAGTTCCATCCAGAGACGAGTCATTTCCCTGGTGGGTGATACCACACTCACTAATTCTTCAACAGCATTGGAACACCGTAGGAAATTCGGCGACCTTTTTCTTGTCTATAGATACTTCCAAGGAAAATGTTCTTCAGAATCCTCTGCAATCATTCCATCACTAGCAATACCAGTTAGACGTACTCGGCAGGCTTAGTCAGAACATTATTTTTCCGTTATCAATATTGAAAGGAGTTTCGAAATCTCTCGATATCGCCTACTTTGTGAAAATAGCGAGGCGTGGGAAAAACTTGCTAAATTTCCGAAGTTTCAAACCACATTTACAGGCATCATGACACATTTATTTGATATATCGAAGACTGGAACCTTTGGCACGATAATACACTACACTGTTTTACCACTAACCAAACCGATTTTTTAACGCCTCGAGACGTTAAAAAATCGGTTTGGTTAGTGGTAAAACAGTGTAGTGTACATTTATTTGAGTTCACATTTTCATTTTCACAAATTTTTCGACTTTCAATGGTGAATTCATGAACGACACAAGAAAATCCTGTGATAATAGTTTATTTACTCACTTTTGGTACAT